CTTTATTGATAAGGTTAAAAATCTCACACATAAGGAACACGTGAACATGGAGGATGCACTGGCACCAATAAAAGTAAATATCATGTCCTCTAAGAATTGCACCTTTACATTTCAGTATGTTACAGAGAGACAAGTGTGTGGAATACTCAAGGCCCTACAACCTACCAAGACCACAGGTTATGACCATATAGACAATACACTTCTCACACTCTCAGCAGACTACATAGCTGGACCTCTCTGCCATATAATCAACAACTCTTTTAGACAAGGTATATTCCCATCACAGTGGAAAAAAGCTAAAATCACACCTCTTGTTAAGAATAAGTCTGCTCCTCTCAATGGACCTAACAGTAGGCCTATAAGCCTCCTTCCAGCTATTAGTAAGATAGTGGAGAAAATAGTTCAAAAACAGATGCAAAGTTATGGTATAGGATTTTCTTCTAACACAACCAGTAAGGTTCTCACCTGCTTACGTTTCGATGTCTATCAGACACCTTCCTCAGAGCTTCTGACTGGAGTTCTGCAACTCGCCGCTATTTAACGCCAAAGTAGGTGGCGCTTTTGCGGCGAGAATGCAATCCCAAACGTGGCTGAGCTTGTATCCCCCCTCGTCCCGGTTCATCACTGGGGTAGACTTCCTTAACGTAAGCAGGTGAGAACCTTACTGGTTGTGTAAGAAGAAAATTCTATACCCTAAGTATCTTTCAACCTGATGAAATTATTTACGGAAAACACCGACCTGTATGTAAGCTGGAAAATTGGAGCATCAGTTGTCCTCCGGGTCCTGCCGTTATAACCGTGCTGCATCTGTCTGAAGCCCAGCGGGTAGGTCTGGTGTTCAACCGGACGGGAACCGTCAGAGTACCCGTGTTCTGGTTTCCTCACACATTGCTTTGGCTCACATTCACCTGGAAACCGACCGTTAACCGTCAACGTTAGTTTCACAACATTTGGAAGAAAAAGGATACTGAAAATACTCGCATTACCTTAGGAAATGAACCCATATAATATGAAATCAAGGTCCTCTCTAACTCACATGGTGAACGAAAACAAAAAAAAATACAAATACAATAAAGTGAAATAATAGTAAACAAAATGAGGTGAGGTAGACAAACAAGCAAACAAAACAGAGTAAAACCAAAGTAACAAAATGTTGAAAAATTTTTAAATTAGCAATTATAAGACGTAAGGGAAAGGAGGTGGGGGAGGAAAGGATATCTATCCAAGTCTCGATTTCTTATCGTGTTCTCATGAGACTAGGTCACTCCGTGATCAAGCCGTTCGTCGAATATTCGGAGGTACTACGTGTTTGCTGCCTTTCAAACAGTCACTGATTGATGAAAATTCTACTATCAAAGTAACAAAATGTGAAAAAGAACCTACCTTCGCTTTTACAGACCTGCAGGTTCCTGCAGCATGTGGGGTTACACACACACGTCCCGTGACCCTCCTCAGTCGTGTGACAGCGGCCCCCGGCAGGGATGTTGGCGGGGTTACAGCCGCCGTCTGCCCGCCAGGTGGCGTTACACACCGGGGAGAACAGACACGTGCGGCCGTCTGCAGCTAACCGGTATCCCTCCCTGCAGCTACAGCCACAGTACAGGTACAGCACATACATGTGTAAGTATCAAATATATCACAAGGGTTGCATGTTAAAGCATATCTCAGTCTCATTCTACCGACAAAGATAGCGGGTACAAAAAAGAATACAACAGGCAAACATTGCGAAATGGACAGACTGCTACTAGAGTCCGTTCGGTTAACCTAACTCTTACCCTAATAGTAATTCCATTAGTAGAAATATATGATTCTACTTGAGAATTAGAACAAATGTGGTTAAGCATGATAACTCAAGAAATTATGGATGGTCATGAAACTTGGTAGGTGGGTAGGTCTTGATGAGACCTGGAAATGATTACATTTCTGTTCCCCTGGCGGCTTGTTATGGTACTGCAGCGGAACTTCCGGTTTTAATATCTTGTGATCTGGACTACCCTGTCCCTGGGTGCCAGACAAGCTTCTGGTCGCTAGCCGTTTTCCTTCGGCAGTCAGAAGTCCTTCGCCCGCCTATCTAAATTACCGCTGCGGTGGAGTTGAGTCCGTGGGGTCACGAATTTTGTATGGTACAGAGCTGTTTTGCCTGGGAAGGAATTCCGTCAGCGACATCACATTGTTGCCTCAAAGATATCAATATGCTATGACATAGGACCATAAAATTAGATTTGGGCGCCTTTAACACAGAATAGATATCGTACCTGCACGTCATGTGGACACGTGTGTAGTTGTCCTGAGAAGTGTTGACCCGGACGCACGTGTGGTCACACCCTCCCTGGTAACCATCCGAGCAGTCCACATCTCTGCCGGGGTCATAACAACCGGACCCGTCACTGGTCAGCTCCAGCCAGGACGGACACTGCTGGACAACAACACGTGTAAATAGATAATTAATCTGTATCTATCTCTATGTAAGCCTGGGTACTGTACATGTGACTGTTGGAGCGGACGTAAACTAACCAGGATGGTACCCAGGCTATCTCTATGTATGTATCCGTCTATCTTTCTATGTAGATATAAAGATAGATAGATGTAGATAGATAGATAGATATATAGATACTAGTATATAGATAGATAGATAGATAGATAGATGGATAGATAGATAGATAGATAGATAGATAGATAGATAGATAGATAGATAGATAGATAGATAGATGGATAGATCTAACTAAATCTAACTAATACAGCATCGTACATTTATACAATTACTAAGAAGAGAGAAGAAGTTGAAAAGACTAGAATACATTAGACAGTCATATATACATGTAATAGTTATATGTACATGTATATTTATATGAATATGTATTCGTTTATGTATATGTATATGTATAATGTGACCTAAGATTGGCGTCACGTGAAGAAGAAGACTGTAGAAGGTAAACCGAGCATTAGTGTTAGAACAGTTTTAACTCGAACAGGTGATATGTAGTATACCTGGCACCCCGTGACTCCGGTTTTGCAGCCTCCTTTTCCCGCCACACCGTCACCGGCATAGACCGGCTGGAGGGAACCAACAAGGTCACCTTCATCCGTGAACGACAGGGCGTCTAGAAGGTTCTTCCTGCGAATTGGATTTCATAAAAAAACATTTAGAGAAGGAATTAAACTGATACGCACGACATAAATTGTTCTAGTAGAAGCTTTCAGGTGGCATCCGCCATCTTTCTTCAGCTCGAAAGAGGGGTCACGTGACCTAGGTGTCAAAGGTCACCCAGGTCACGTGACTGGACGAGGGAGTTGTAGATTGGTGGGAGCCTGTGGCGTCCTTGGTCACGGTTGAGGGACGGGGAGCGGGACCTGATGTGCACAGCTTCCTTGACCCCTCGTTCGAACCATCTACTTTCACGGTCTAGAATGGTGACTTTCTTCCCCGGTTGGTGTTTGTAAGTCTGCATGTGTTGTGCCACCGGAGAGGACTCTCGCTTGTGCTCAGATATCCTCTTTCTGAGGGCCCTTTCAGTTTCACCTACATACTGGGCTTCGCAGTCTTCACATGTGAGATGATACACTACACCGCATGTGTCCTCTGGTTCAGTTTTGTCCTTTGGAGCGACCAAGAGTCTTCTGATTGTAGTGCATGGTGTACTGTGGACGGCCACCCCTGTGTTCCTGATCTTCCTGGTAATGGCTTCGGTCACACCCGCGACGTACGGTAGTGTAACATGACCTTTGGGCCTGCTGTCCGTGGAAGAGCGAGGATGTGGGATGAGTTTGGTCCTACCAGGGGACTGCCACGCCCACCTGGTGTATCCCGCTATGGAAAGGACTGTTTTGAGGTGATCGTACTCGGTGTTCTTATCATCTACTTCTGTGATGAGGTGGTCTGCTCGATGTCTTAGGGTTCTGATAACTCCCATCTTGTGTTCCATCGGTTGGTGGCTATCAAAGAGCAAGTATTGGTCCGTATGCGTAGGTTTACGGAACACACTGAACTTCAGTCTACCATCATCCTTTCTGGTCATGAGCACGTCCAACATCGGGAGGGATCTGTTCTCTTCAAGTTCTTTAGTGAACTTGATGTTGGGGTGGATCGAGTTAAGGTGATGGTGAAACGGTTCGATGAGACTGGACTTCAAAACGGCACCTACGTCATCAACGTACCGAACCCATACCTTAGGTGGGTTAGGGAAGGTGGTGAGGGCACGTGACTCAAACCATTCCATAAAGAGGTTGGCCACGATCGGACTCACAGGTGAGCCCATGGCAGCACCCTCAACCTGGGAGTAGAACTTTCCCTCATATTTGAAGTATGTGGTGGTGAGGCATAGTCGCAGTAGTTCAGTGACTTGCAGTGGAGACAGTTTTGTGCGCTCATTCAGAGAAGAATCACAAGTGAGTCTGTCCCGGATGATCACAATACTCTCTTCCACAGGAACGCTGGTGAACAAGGCTGAGACGTCGAAAGACGTGTTTAAAAACATGTTTAAAAACTGTTGTACAGTTATCATATGAGGATTAGTGTCATGTCTACCACGCACAGGTGGTTTTCGAGCAAAGACATGCAGCTTTGGTTAGGGACGTCCCTCAGACGTCTCCCCGTGTTTGGGGAGAGCCACACCCATACATGTTAAATAATCCACCTGTAGAATAGGAGCATGCCCCGGTGTGAGATGGTCCAAATAATACTGTCTGGAAGTTACATAATATAATGCTTCGCTTCTGATGAGGACGACTGACAACAACATCCACATATTTCATGTCAATAAAGTTAGATTAGTATAATTAGTGTCTCTTTATTGTTATACATTGTTTCTGAAAGTGGACCAGATTCTTAGTAGAACTGTTAGATATTTTTAGCATCACCAACTATGTATGTATATTTTGGAATACGATGTATCCGCTACATCTGTTGCGCAATAAAGTTCTTCTTCTTATTATTATTATTCCATGTCTCACCGTAAAGACGCCACATCGCCCGCTGTGTTGACGACAGGAGGCAGGCACCTGTTTGAAGCGTGCACGGTTAGCTGGTCTGGTTTCACCACACGGACCACTTTATCCATGGTGTCTCCACGTGTGTACCTTGTAGAAGGGGACAACGACAGCGTATTACGGCGTATGGTCAACTCAACTAATAATGTACAGTGAAATAAAAGACGACATACACACAAAGCCATCTCGATTATTTTGATTATTAGAATTTAGAACATACTTTCATTTCAGGTAATAATCTATCAATTCTGGTTAGTTTGAGAAGTTAATCAATCATCCTTCATTAGACAAACCTGAAGACCCTGTTGACGGATTGCTGGCTTGTTCTTGCGTCGAACGCCTTTCCTATGGAACCGTACGGCCACCATCTGGAGAAAACAAAGACGATTCACTTTAATTTGTCTCCAGACATTTAGGGAGTCCCCGCGCTACGCTCACTCGGTGGTTTCATTTGGTGATTATAGCAACTGAAAAGCCTTTATCACACCATGCACATCTCGGTTCAGGTCGTTATAACACTTAGATAGTGACCGGTGGTTAAACATGGAACCTTCTCATTGATCAACGCCATCTGGCTATATTGTTATAGAACATGAAAACATGAAAAAGAAAACATGACAGAAAGCAGATATATAGTATAAAATACAGCTGCATTTTTGAAGATATATCAAGTACCTACGCACCTGTCGTGTCCTGTCCACGTGTTACGAACACATAACTGTGGGTACTGCAGGTCATTCTGATAACCCTCCATACACGAACATCCGCCTGGAAATAATATAACGTGAAGATTACGGTACAATAGGCATAGAAAATGCAGAACGTAAGAAAACGATTCCACCGAAAATGATTTCACCAGGTTCGTAAACATAGGATATTGGGATTTTCTAATACACAGCCAATGCTATTTTCACATTGCTTACGTTTCGATGTCTATCAGATATTTTCCTTACAGCTTTTTACTGCAGTTCTGCTTCTCACCGCTATATGTATGTAGCCAATGTAGGTGACGCTTTGAATCCAGTGGTTAAAGGAAGCTGTCTGGGGAAGAAAGTCAACTACAGTGACTTAGCAACATTTGGGATTGTGTTCTCACAGCAAAAGTGCCACGTACACTGGCGACAATCAGCGATGAGAGTCAGAACACCAGTCAGAAGCTCTGAGGAAGGTGCCTGGCAGACATCGAAACGTAAGCAAGGTAAAAAGTCACTGGTTATGTGTGAGAAAATCAAAATATCGCAAGAAATAGAGTTTGAATCAAGTTGATTCCGGATTTCCCTACCAGTATCAGGGTCGCACGTGTGCTCGCACTTCTCTGAAGGTACGTGTTCCGCACAGAAATCTCGCGAGAGTTCCCGGTCGTCTGATGAGTTCACGTATCGATACACTTGTACTGGGGCCTGGCGCAGCCATGGGGGGTATATGACGTCACTCTCACTGTGTAAAATGAACCTGGAACCTATCGGAGAAAACAAATATAACAGACCGCTGTATCAGCCAATCAGCAAGGAGAATAGAGGAAAGCTGCATGCCTATTGGTTGATGCCCTGCATTCCATTGTGATGACTCATGCCCAAATGTGGTAACACTGCACACTAACTCAGTAATACATTTGCTATAACACAGCCAAAAAACTCAAATAAAACCATTCTAAAAGCCTGTATCACAAAAATTTAAAAAACGCCTAGGGGTATTTGCCCACTGTACCTCCATACCAAATTTCAGGACCTTAGGCCCTAAAATGAAGAAGCTGAATCCATTTAAAGATATGGCAGGAGGAGGAGGAGGAGAAGAAACATCAGAAAAAGCAATATGGGTTCACCACCACTTCGTGGTGTGGTGAACCCATAAATACAACATATACCCTACACAACAGTACACGGTTACTTTAGGCAACATTAACACATACACTATTCATCATAAGGCAGGAAGAAAAATACCTTAAAAATTATATACAGAATTTTCTTTTCCGTAAGATAATGTGAAATGTTAAAGGCAACCATGACCCAATGCAATTTTTAATTGTTACAATGGCTGCAAAATTTGAATTTCAAAGTCAATTTTCCCGTCATTCCTTTTATGTAGTAAGTTAAATCAATCGTATCCCATAGCATACTGACGCATAAAAATGCAACAACGTGATGTCATTGACGGCAACGGTTGCTTGTTATGTATCGTACACTAGTTCTAGCTTTTATGGGTAGGAACCCCCAAATAAAAATATGCCGCATGTGATTTGGGGCTATTTCAAACGATTCTAGTATGAAATGTTAACGAAAATGTGCTAAGATATGTCAGTAAATGTCAACATCAGGCAGATTTCCTCATCTAGATTTTTTTCCTGTTTAGCAACCCTGAAATTGCATTGAATGCCTTTGACTTCATGTGTAATTTTAAACGACAGATGGCTGTAAAACAATTTCGAATAGTTGCGCTGACATTGGTTTTTAAGTTGTCGCAGTATTATCCTCTGACACATACAAAGCTGCATAGAACTTTTTTACTCCGTATGTTTATGCAAATATGTTGCAATCATGCCTCTACCCGAATTACAAATGTACGTTTATGTAAATAAGTTTTAAGCATATATATATATATTCGAATTGTAATGCGTGTTTATGTAAATATGTTTTTAATCATGTCTCTAGTCGAATTGTAAATGTCTTAACGGAATTCAGCCGTTTTGGTAGCAATGTTTGTGGCATTGGTTTTGAAATAAATAAACCTAACCATTATTATTATTATTATTATTATGAATATGTATGTACGTATTAAAAAAAACACACCTGGTGCGAGAAAGCCGTTCGGAATGTGGAGGTGCAGGCTGACGGTGACAGGACAGGTCGTGAGGCTGTGCAGACAAACCAGCAGACACACGCACACCGCGATAAACAACATCTTCTTACCGAGGGGCGGGCCGCGTCTACCTGTGGCGGGGACAAATATATGATGTGAGTTGCGATTCTTTGTTTGTAAATAATTTCATCAGGTTGGTACACGAATGAATAGCAAAGTTCTTTGATCACAACTATTTATTTTTCACGAGCCGACGTTTCGATGACCGTCTGTCATCTTCATCAGGGCAATTCTGACTGGTTTACTGTGCACTGACACTAGAAGTTACTTGGTGCATACTGTATGCCACAATTGCAATACGTTCGGAAATGCATTGTTAACAGTAAAAACTAGCTTAAGTGCACAGTGAACCAAGTAACAGTGCACTGTGAACCATGTAACACTTTTAGTGTTCACACGCATTTCCGAACATGGTTCACACGCATTTCCGAACGTATTGCAATTGTGGCATACAGTATGCACCAAGTAACTTCTAGTGTCAGTGCACAGTAAACCAGTCAGAATTGCCCTGATGAAGATGACAGACGGTCATCGAAACGTCGGCTCGTGAAAAATAAATGGTTGTGATCAAAGAACTTTGCTATTCAATTGTTTGTTTGTTCATTTGTTTGTTTGAACTACTCATTATTCACGAAAAGCTCAAATCGGCCTGCAGGCCGCTTTTTATCGAGGTCATGGGGGAAGAAGAAGTAAGGGTTAGATAAAATATATATAACATACACTGATGTTTCTCACAGACTTTGAAAACAATCGTTCAGCACCAAGGACAGGCTTCTGTGAAACACCCTAATTTTCGTATTCCCGAAAAAAAGCTTTTTTAGTCTTTATTAGAATCTGTCGCCTATCTTAATAGAAGAAGACCTTAATTGCGCGAAAATTGTAGTAAGTACAACGTATGGAAATATGGACGTACAGATACATAACTGCTAACATTTCTCTAGCAGTTTCAAGAAGAAATAGTTCTAACAGTTTGAGAGAAAAAAGGGTGAATATTAATTAATTCACTGTCGACGTCGAAACGAACTAATTCTGACTGCCAGACTGAACACTAAACTTGTCACCTTTTGATTTAGAATTCCATCGACCTTCATCGTCCGCCTCTGTCCCACTGTCCCGGTCACCCTCCGTACAGACTACCTTGTTCTCAGTCTCACGGACACGGGCAAGGTCATCGCGTACTTTACCTAAACATCAAAATGTAAATCATATTAGAAAGGTAACTTAACCCTCACATGGTCTAGCCTAGCATGCTGCTGCTCTGTTTATTCTTACTCAATCACATTCATATACTAGTACATGTAAATAGTGACAAGAACTTTTATATTCTGCTACATAATGTAACTCAACACCACAGGGTGTCTGCTACAGCACAAGTTACCACGGTGTCCTATCCAGGTCATTGACCTCATGTGGTTTGGGAAAAAGAAGAAACTGAGCACAAAATGACATATTTTTTCTGCTATTATAAAGGTTAACATAAAAATGTACTTTCTAGTATTGGACAGCATTATGTCTTCTTTGCAGAGGGAATAACAACAACTTTGTTAACACAACAAAAGTACAGAAACATTTTTTCTTCATGTTTGATATTCAAAAACACATACAGGTATAAAATGTGGAAGCTATATATATGTACGACCGGTATGCATCAATCTCTCACCATGTAGGGTTCGCGATACAATATGTAACGTTAGCATTTACATTGTAATCTTAAAAGATTCTCCAATGTAGTTACTTTCTTGCAAACTGCACAGAATATCTTCTCCGAAGATAGGATCAAACTATATAAGTAACATTTATTAGACTTCTTTGTGTAAGCAGAAAGAAAGGAGAATACGCTACACTATTGCCACAACAAGATATTCTCGGGTCCAGAAGGATACAGACAGCTGGAAACTCAACTTTACCTGTCTTTAATCCGTTGCAGGAAGCGTTCGGCAGAGGCGTGGAGGTGAGGAAGGTAACTCTCTGTGTCTTCACGGCTCTGGTGAAGTTCTGGAAATCCTCCGTCACGTCTGAGGAGAGTTTAAAGTCGTGTGGTTTAACATCTACTGCAACATCCACAGCATCGGGTATTTTTTCATCGCTCAGGCATTTTCCTTCCACAGTCGTGTAACCTGAATTGGTGGACACATCGTCGCTGTAGGACGGAATGTCTAACTCTCCAGATGTGACGAACGTGCGGCTGATCCCTGAACCTTGAGGACAACCGTTTGGAGCACCGGCATAGTTGTCTCTTCTTCCCGGTGTCTTCTTCAGGATGGAAGGCGGTAACGTCTCCGATGAGCTGTTGAAGACGACTTTGATGCCGTCGCCATTTTTCTCCGTGTCGTCGTCTTCGCTGTCCGAGACTGGTGGACTGTGTTCCGTCTCGCTGTCCGTGTCGTTCTTATCCGTGTCATTGTCGGCAATTCTACCGTCTAAGTGTGACTTTCTCCTGGATACAAAAAGATGCAGTGGATCATCAACAAAACGTTCCGAAGAATATAAGACCAGACTGATATAATTTTATAGATGACATCCGCGCGTGCATTTATTTTCGCCTGTTCTAAAAAAAACACCTCACATTCCGACCTATTTCCGTAGTCTATGGTAGCTAGCGACAATAGGGGGCCAGTGGTAACTAGGGAGGACGGCACCCGGGCTTCCGAGGCTGCAGAACTCAGTACAGTACCCACTCATAAATGCCGCAATCGTACGGCGTATCGTAAAAGTACGTCAAAAAACAGTTACTCAAGCAACTGGATATGACGGTTACTAATAGACATCCAGGTAATAAGATACGCCAAAAAGTACTTACTCAAGCAACTAGATATCCAGTTGCTTGAGTAAGTACTTTTTGGCGTATCTTATTACCTGGATGTCTATTAGTAACCGTCAACGACGTATCGAAAAAAGTAGGCAATACCAGCTCTGTATCCCTGTGGTTTAACAGCATATTTTTTGTATGGGGGTGGGTAGGGGTGGATTTTTAATTAGTCCTCTCTCATCAGTTTTGGGGTCTTCTGATGATGCCATCCACACAATTAAGTCAGTGTGGCCTACATGTGAAAAAAAGACCATAAAAATGATTTTCGCAGAGCAAACGCCTTTACCTGAGCAGCCCCCGTCTGCGGGGAGAATCCCTGAGTGAATTGAAGCTGCTGGTTCCAGACGGGAGAGTCTTACTCAGGCTACTCCCAACGTCTCTTTTCTTCTTGTGCCAAGTACAAGAACGTCTCTTCTCTTGGAGATAGATGAACGCAAAGATCGAGGACAGGACGAACACAGCGACCTGAAACGTGGAAAAAGATGAAACTAAAAAAAAAGACGAAACTAAAAAGCTAAAAAGGCTGGGTTGATTCCGTTACCACATTAATTTTCTCAAAAATAATTGACCTTTGTGCTACGAAGGAATGGTACTTGACACTAATACAAGACCAAATGTTAAAATGATTCATTCATTACTTTGATTTAAGAAGCTTCGTTCATTACTTCGATTTGAGAAGCACAGGTCTCAATTTAAGACACTCTACATATTGACTCTACATAAGTTCAGCGTAACATTATCTTAAAAACAACGACAACCCATTAAAGATGTTACACGTTGTTATGTTGGTAAATTTAATTCTAATGGAGTTATCAAGTGTTTTACTGCAACTCAGCTCAGTATTCTACACTTATTAATTCATTATATACTAATTTACTTGTTCCAAAACTTATTTCTATTGTTTGGTTAATCTTACTAATTTATTGTATAATGTCACCTATTTACTAATTGAAAATTCTGATAATTTTGCTTATTTGATTCATGAATTAATTGTTTCGCTTCACTTTCTTTTGCTATTACTTTATTGTTATGTATTTAATTATCTATACTCGACTTGATAAATGTAATAATTAGCTTTAAACGAAATCTTAAAAATCACCTACTTTTCTTTCCCACCGACATTTGATTTCTTATTACTTTGATTTCATCTGTATAAGTTTGAATTTCCGTTTCTCTTTAGAATTCATTTATTTTCTTGAGTTATTGCTTCAATTCTGCCAATGTCTGTATTGCAGTTAAAGTTCTGTTAACGTTAAAGTTATAGTTTTTAACATATCATTTCTAATTAGCGTTATTTATCAATCACTTTTGTTATTCATGTTACTATTTGTTTTGTTACTATTATCATTTTGATCATATTGATCAAATTTATTAATTACCTATTGTTATTTATTATTACCATTTGATTTGTTAGCATTATTTCAGTTGTTAATTAATTTTGTCGGGGAAGATCCCAGACAAGCCACTATGGCTTCATATCTTTCCCCAGCATTTTATTTTACTGTCAGTAATATGTTCATTTTATTGTTATTAAATATATGCGAACCAATAAACAAACAAACAATACTGTAAGAACATGTTCAAGGGAAATATCAAACAAGACATCATGGTTTTTTCCCTTACCTTGCTCGTTTATTTTTCCCCGTTGCTTATGTTTTGCGAAGTTTGCTGTAATTGCTGTTGTGTATGTTCGAATAAATAAAATCTCTTCCATACCACTATGACAACCGTGACGATGATGGTATTGTCCTTAGCTGCAGAAGCCGGCTGCAGTACCTCCTGTCCGGTCAGGTTAGTGTAGGGGGCGCTCCTGTACACATGCAGCTGCACGGCCCCGGATTCCCGGCGTTCCTTGCGCCACTGCACATGCGCAGTTTGTGCTGATTCACCCTTGATCTCTAGATATACCAATACAGAAAATTACTAATACTCACTTGTGTAGAGCGTTTTCAGTTAGGCCATGTTGATGTGATTATATGGATGACATCCACGAATCATCGTCCGTTTGCCCCCAAAAAGTTTTCGACCAAACTGTAAACCGTACAAATCAACTTCATAATGAGCCATTGTATGCCGTACATTGCAGACAATATTGGAAAACGATACCAAAGTAGAAGAAAGCCAAAATCAATTTCGAAGGAAAATAAGAAGAAAATGTGAAGAATTAAAAATGAAGAGTCTATCATTCGCCATACCACACTTTGCGTATTTAGTCATTTGTTCAACATTTATGATTTCACAATGAAGGCTATTGTTTTTGCCAAACTGTTTTTATTCACACGTTCGCATCAGTTTTGGGGTTCCCAGAGGATGTCATCTATATGATCAAATCAACATGGCCTTACTTTCTATTAGCCTCCTGCTGTATTCACATAACATCACCGTAATTGTTTAATTCTGTTCCTGTACATCGGACTTTACCTATGTGATATTTTTGTCTTGTAGTTGTCTCGTGTTGTGATAATTATTTTATGTCCAGTGGTGACGTTAACATTTCGCTCAAGTACGTCTATTTACTATTTTGTTTGAATGTTAAAATGTTAAAAGAAAACTTTCTAACGTTCAACTTTCTACGAGCGGAGGACGGTGGAGGGCTCATACAACTTATCATTTTGGAATTGGAAACAGAAGTAGTGAATGCCTTCCGGTTGTAAACTTTTGAATGTAACCACAGCTACATGTACATGACATGTTTAATTTCATCCTAGAAGGTAATAACCCTTGCTGTGTACAAATAGGTAAATACATGTATAGCAAAGAATATATAGACCTTAGAACAAATAGTATTAGATGACTCATGTATATTTGTCTGTATATCTACATGTCTTAGACCTTACGAAAGTCGCTGTACTTTTGTTGTGTCAATAAAGTTCTCTGTACTCACCCAGGACAGCAGTAGGAGCGCCGCCTGGCGGCAGGTCATCATAAACACTCAGGCTCCCGGGAAAGTCATTAATGAAATAAAAGACTTCACTTCTATTGTTGTCCGATAGAGGCACCGCCAACCATCTCACATCGCAGGAAGGGACGGCGCCTTGCTCGGTTCTGACACCTTCAGTTGTACTCGGCACGAAGAACAGGTAACAGTTCACAAGCACGAGTGTGAGGCGGACTGTAGCCATGTTAGGTTGCGTGCGTGGTGCCTGTTGCATGCCCTGTCGAATTTCCTGGCGCCTCTGTGTCTGTGATTAAAATGACCAAAAAAAACCTACATTATACAATTTTGGTTTGTCTTCCCAAGACCTACCCGCATACCAAATATAATCATACTCCATCTAAACCTTCTTACGTAACGCTGCAACGCAAACACACATCGACACCGTGACAGACAGACAGGCAGACAGACAGAGGAGTAGTAAAAGGTAGTAAAAGTGCATCTCTGAACTTCAGGTAAATGGCATTATAATCATTCGAAGCCCTATTTTCTTACACAGAAGTGAGTACGTACCAAAAATCGGGCAGACCTTTTCAATTTGAACCTGGGCAACGTATGCAGATTACTTTTCTTGTTTGAGACACGCATGCAAGTCAAATACTAGCATCTTCTCGCAATGTTAGACTATACTGTATGTGACTAGTAACGCATTATGTAAATACTGACACACACACATATATATATACAGACACAGGTATATACACAAGTACTCGGTACACAGCAGCCTGCAATGTTTATGTCTACCATGGTTCAATGACCAAGGCCGCTGGCGGACACAAATGCATGCACTTCAACAACCTGGTCTACACATACCTAAACACCGATTGTTCCCGTTAAGGTAAAGGGATCTTGTTACTTAGCCCGAGGGCAAATTTGGAGTGCTAACAATTGTACATACACCACCAAGACTCGCGTCGTACTTGATATGATGAAGTTATACAGAAGTTTTGCTTACAGGTGGGGAAGGCTAACACTTGAAGGAACAGCTGGCCGAAGCCTGTCTATCAGCATGGCGAATATAGTCTAACCTGAAGTCAATACTGGCACAGCAAACATGTCTGTTGTCGGGCTATTCACCGGCGGAGTCCAGGCGTGACATGGGCGCGTTATGGGGGATAGAAGGCACAACGTCTGGTCTGAGAACTCTCAGTATTAAACATTCCCATAGTGTTACAAGATCTGTGTCTGTATAGCCGGTATAACCGACCTTCTCCGTAACAAACCAGCTCAGTAACAGGCACGCGGCGCAGTGGCAGCTTGCTATATTACACTGAACGACCTGTAACACCTAACATTTGCACATCTAACTGCATGTGTTTGTTGTATAAAGTGTTTGTTGTTTAAAGTTTGTTGTTAAAAGCTATCTCGTCAGGATGTCAATACTGTACATGGTGATATGGAAAGAGAAATTGGTAACAATAGCTTGAAATGTGGGGAGGGGTGCGATATATACATGTACACACACAAAACCCAGTAATTATGACGACGGTTAGACAATAGGGCAGGTGTTTGAGAGCCTGACTAGTCACAGCACGCGTACTGCAGCAGGCTAGGACAGGAAGGTGTCAATAATTATACCAGCAACAGTACTAGCACAGAGTGTACTGTTGTCCTTAGAGTTACAAGACTTAGTATGGAACCTAGCTTGTTGAAGTATGACACTGTTGACGCCGTTGGACTATTTGCTTTCAACGGGTAGCCAACAACGGTGTGTACATGCATGGGTAACCAACAACACGTATGTATGGCGTCTCTGACAGACAAACAAACAAAACATTTGGCGAATTCATCGAACAGAACACCTGCATGCTTCAGGTAACAACACTAGTACTACTGGGTCTCAGACACAAACAAACCGTGCTGTCATACCTCAGTGATTCCTTCCTACAAAGACATCATGGCCGGCAGTAGGACTACGTGTTGATACAGGCTCGAACACCGGTCCACATACAGCAGCGTCCCGATGTTACTCGTACCTTCCGATCCTACAGACACAAACCGCACGTTCTGTGTTCTGTGCAGAAGACAACAGCTGCACTTGTTCACGACTACAATGGTGAAACGGCTTGCCCGACCGCACCTTTCCGCTTAAGTGGAATTCCGAACTCCTGACCAAACTAAGCCGTAATTGTCGACCCTTCACACGCCAGATTTCACCTACTGACCTCTCCTCACTGCTATCGGCACTACTTATCTTTGTTATACAACATACTTACCGTTCGGAGGTTGAACATTAACTACGCGGAGAGGCCGTATTGCAGGGCTAGAATGGGAGGATAGGATTTATGGCAGGAATAGTTCTACTGCCACAATGGATCACTGGAGTTTATTAAGCCGTAAAGACTAGTGGGGTTTTCTAAGGGCGGTGTTGTTAGATATACCTGTATTATATATTTAACTGTGGAAAACGCCATTAAAGGCACCCAATGCAATTTCAGGGCGAAGTCAATTTTCTGGTCATTCTTTGAATGCAATTAATTAGTTGAAACAATCCTAACTGATACCATACTGATATTTGTAAGACCCAAAATACGATATCGCTGACGGTATGCGTATGCTTGTTTCGTATCGCACGTGTACATGCATGCTGCTTCTAGATATTTACGGGCGCACCTCCCCCCCCCCCAAAGAAAAAAAATTTAAAGGACCCTCACGTAGCTTGTTTCTGGACTATCTCAAACGCTTCAAGTATGAAGTGTGGAATTGAAATTGCCTCCATGAAATTGCATTGGCTTCAAATCAATATATTCTCTCGCTTTGCACCAGGAAATTGTTTGGGATTACTTCTACTAAAGTAGGCCTGGCTGTATAGCTACGTTGAACCATGGGAGCAATACATTGCACAACACTAAAGTGGCAGCAATATCCTTAGGCAATTTGGGGAAATGACCAATAAAATTGTCTGCGCATTTCTACAGTAAGGGATAGGTGAGAAGTAAAGCCAAGAAATTTGAGATTTTCGAGTTATGGAAATTTGGGTTTTCATAAATTTATCGAGGAAAGATTATAATCGGGACTAGTTCCTGCTGGCTCCTGGCTAGATTCTGTGACCTTCAAGGTCACTCCATTTCCTCTGTCTGACCCTTTGACCTCCTGTCACGTGTCTGCCAATCGCCCTACCCACGTGTTGTCCGGACACCAAACACACGTTTGCAACGGAACCACTCAACATTTCCGTACCCGGAGGTAAAAAAAAAATCAGTTCCGGAAAAACTACAGAAGTTGTCAACCAGGAATATTTCAGAAGGAGTGAACGTAGACTATGGGAACGTATGTATGCATCTGTATAGCCTAACCGCCCTTCAGCGTAACACACCATAAGAGATCTATAGAGGCATTCTTCACCCTCGCATTGAACCATCTAAATATTGATCAGATTCTATCAATGTTGGTTGATCTTAAGACGTGGACTGTACAGGAAATTATTGAGAAGTCATTTTAAAAGGCACAAGAAACATTTACCAAAGGAAGTAATCTAAATTTTCTTACTTTGGAATGCACGAAGAATTAATTACCCCCGTGTGTGTGTGTAGGGGGGGGGGTCTTGGTGCAATTTAAAAATGTACGTTCAAGTGATAAGTTCGCGACGAAATATACGACCTCGAAAACCACGAAAACATAAAACCACAATTGGCAGTTCAATTACGTAAGGCATTATATAAAGATATGCAAGTTGGCATAGCAGTGGATAGACGTGGCGCAAAATGACAAAAATTCCGCAATTCATTAACCTCAGAGAGTCCAGGAGGGAATATTTTCACAGTATATTTTCTAGATCTTACTAGTACGTAAAATGGAGGAACTTTTTTACATGCATGAATGACTAGGAGTTTTAACTTCTAGTTAAAACATACCAAGCTGATCACATTAAACTTCAGGCTGTGGTAGAATATTATGTAACGCTATGTTAAAAGTAGTAGTGAGTCAGCCTTTAATATTATAGACTATGCTCTAATACAGCTCTCAACGTATGCAGTTTTCTATACAAAAGTGCATAAAAATGGGAACCTGTGATGGTTGCTTAAATGGCTAGAAATACATCTGACAAGTTGGTACCGGCAGGTGTTAACTTCGGGTTGCGTCCGAATACCTGTACCAAGTAATGTTAGATTTGTAGTACTAGAAGAGGAGAGAAGGATGCTAACAACAAGTAGTAGTACCCAGAATAGGTACCCTTTCAGCTCTTGAGATGGTCGATGTAAAAAAAAATGAAAAAAAAAATCATAATGATGTTAGATACTAAATGCAGAACAAACGTACATCTAAATAAATGTAAACTACGTAAATGATGCACTTTGACACTGCAGTAGTTAGGAGGTCATAGCGAGTTGAGGGTGTGTGGTTAAACCGGTTTCTAACTCGGGTGAATATGTGATGAACGCCCAACCTCTGTGTGATCTCTGAGAGTTCAGGTACGAATATTTCTGCAGTACAACTTGTAGATCTTTCAAAACAAGCTGTACTCTCTCACTATGTACTTGGGTTGCTGGGTAGTGGGTAACTTGTTAGTTTTACCTCGCTGAACAACATCATGGGATTGTTCGACGGACTAGTAAAAATGTAGAGCATTGTAGGCTCAATATCAGCAAGAACTGTGAACTCTAAATGGTGTAGATGTGTTCCAATTATAGTCTGGTGGCAGAGACCGATAAGCGTGCAATGCGGTCCATACAAAGTTTTTTTATTGTTTCTATATCTCTGAGGTGTGCTCTTTCAGAATCTGAATGATGCCACTCTGTCATCCTTGGGCAATTCGCACAATATGCAAATTAAGGTGGCCATTACTGAAAATCCAGTTTTCGTCAATATCTCAGTAACTACTCATGGTATCAGAATAATTTTGGTGTCTATCCCCATCTTTTGAGGGATAACGAATTAAATCAAGCCATTTCAGTAAAGATAGAACCACTATTTTTTGCTAAATATGCAAATTTGGGCCGCGCAATATGCAAATTAGGGCGGCCATTACTGAAAATCTGTTTTTCGTCAATATCTCAGTAACTACTCATGGTATCAGAATAATTTTGGTGTCTATCCCCATGTTTGAGGGATAACGAATGGAATTAAGCCATTTCAGTAAAGATCAAACCAGTTTTTTTGTGCTGAATATGCAAATTAAAGCCGCACAATAGGCAAATCAAGGAAAATCTGTCAATATCTCAGTAACTACATATGATATTATAATATCTTTGGTGTCTTTCCCCATGTTTTTT